GGATACTACAGCCTAAGACAGAAAATTATCTGTACAGGTCCACGTCTTCGTATAGCCCCCATATAACGGAACCCCCCATATTCGGTATTTTGATGATTTTAACGACATTATTTACCGGTATCGTTTCAAATTTGGTATTTGAAGTTCGTAATGGATACTACATCCTAAGTCAAAAAATGAGCCATGTAAATCCACGTCTTCATGTAGCCCCCATATAAGGGTACCCCCCCGATATTCGGTATTTTGATGATTTGAGCGACATTATTTAACGGAATCGTTCCAAATTTGGTATTTGAAATTCGTAATAATTACTGCAGCATAAAACAGAAAATGGACCATGTAGGTCCACGTCTTCGTATAGCCCCCATATACCGTACCTCTCGATATTCGGTATTTTGATGATTTTAGAGACATTATTCACCAGAATTGTTTCCAATTTGGCATTCGTAACGAATGCTACAGCCTAAGACAGAAAATTGTCTGTGCAGGTCCACGCCTTAGTATAGCCCCCATATAACGGTACCCCCTTTATTCAATATTTTGATGATTTTAGCTACATTATAAACAGATTTTTCTTCAAGTTTTGCATTTAAATATTGTAATAACTTATGACAAAAGTTGCCTACGCAGGTCCACGTCGTATAGGCATTCGGTATTTTTAAGATTTTAACAGAATTTTAAACGGATTTTATTTATTTATTTATTTATTTTTTTTTTTTTTTTTGATATTGCCAAATTTGTACCAAATGGTGGAGGGTATTAATAGTTCGGTACGGCCGAACTTACAGCTTTTTTACTTGTTAATGAGTTATAATGATTCAAAATCTTTACCCGTTGTGGGGGAGATACCAGAGTATTTGTTGTTTGTGATGGGTTCCAGCTTCGGTGACAGAACAATAGTTATATAGGTTCACGTTTTCGTTTAGCTCCCATATAACGGTACCTCCCGATATTCAGTATTTTGATGATTTTTGCCACATTTTTCCAGGGGTTTGTCTTTCTTCAGACTTCTGACACATTTTTCAACAGATTTGTCAAAAAAAAGTTATTTGTAGTTCGTAATGGGTTGTTGCTCTGATGGAGGAACATTGTACATATAGGTGCATGTCTTCGTAATCCCCGTGTAATGGTACCTCCCGATATTCGGTATATTAATGGTTTTACCCACATTTTTCTACAGACATGTTTAACATTTGGTTTTTATAGTTCGTAATGGGTTCTAGCTCCAGTGGCAGAACATTCAATATGTAGGTCCACGTTTTGAATATGTAGGTCCCACAAAATATATAACGGCTACATTTGGTTTTTTTATGATTTTAACAGAATTTTTAACGGATTTTCCTTTTTTTGAAAATTTTCAAATTCGTTCCATATGGTGAAGGGTATTAAAAGATCGGCCTGGCCGAACTAACAGCTTTTTTACTTGTTGCTTTTAGTACACTTATACTTAGAACTTGCAAAAACCCAGACTTATTCTACGCAAAATTTCAAATTCTTTTCTCAGTTTTAGCTCCACCCGTTTTGCCTGGGCGTTGTTAAATCAGTCAGTCATAGACATGTCATAAACAAACCTACATACTTCAGAGCTTTAGCATCTCCCAATCGCTCAATATCAACGGTACCATAATTAGCACTTTTTGTACTTTTCGTCAATTTATAGGACGACTTTGGAAAATAGCGGTCTTATCTAGCACATCTGCTCCAAGGGAGACTCTCACCTAAAATTTCAAGATTCCAACTTCAGCCGTTTTGTCTGGGCGTAATGAATACGTCAGTGAATCAATCACTCAACAGGGTTGCCCATATTCGACGGACCCATCTGGCTTAATGACATACCGCGTTTGAAGCGTCAGTCCAAGCAGATTTTTACCATGAACCAATACACGCCACGCGAGCGCTCTGAAATTTACATTCAACAGAAGAAGTCAATTGTGAAAACTCAACGTGCTTTTAAAACATTAAAAAATGTGAGAAGTGCGCCTTCTAAGAACACCATTAAGCGTTTATACAAAAAATTTTCGACTGATAAGGCTCTTTCTAATCCGAAGAGGCCATATAAAAGTCGACCAAGGAGATCGGCCGAGAATATCGCTGCCGTACGAGCCAGTGTTGAGAGGTCCCCAAGAACATCCCAAAAACGCCGTTCTCAGCAGTTGGGCATGGCTCGGTCCACTTTACAACGGATTATTCGCATTGATTTGCATTTGTTCCCGTACAAAATTCAATTGACGCAAAGAATGTTGCCTGCGGACAAGCCTCGTCGATTGGAATGGGCCCAAAGAGTCATCGAAATGGCCGAAGATGACGAGCAATTTTGTAACAAAAATATCATGTCCGATGAAGCCCATTTCACATTGAATGGGACCGTAAATACGCCACTGAAAATCCTCAGGAGATTCAAGAAGTGCCTTTTCATGACGAAAAAGTCACAGTTTGGTGCGGCGTTAGTGCGAAAACGGTCATTGGGCCGTTTTTCTTCCAAAATGAAAATGGCCATGCTGTTACCATCAATCATGAGCGTTATCGCGACATGATGACCAATTATTCGTCGAAAGCGTATGAGGCAGTTCTGGTTTCAACAAGACGGCGCTCCACCGCACACAAGTCGCATAACAATCGATTTTCTGAAGAATTTGTTGCCGGGCCGTTTGATGTCGAAAAGTGGTGATTTGGACTGGCCACCGTGTTCGCCCGATTTGACGCCGCCTGACTATCTTGGGGATATTTGAAGTCAAAGGTTTACGTTAACAAGCCAAGGACCGTAGAAGAGCTCAAGGACAACATTCGTGAAGAAATAGCCGCTATTCCGGCCGAAATGTTGGCAAAAACGATGGAAAATGCAGAAAAAAGGGCACAATACGTCATCAACGCCAGAGGCGGCCATTTGAGAGATATCATATTCAAAAATTGATGTAAACAAATCTACTTGGAACAAATTAAATGATTAACATTGCCAACCGCCAAATTTTTATTTTTTTCTTTGATTTAAAAAAAATACATGGGTCCGTCGAATATTTGCAACCCTGTACAACAGTCGGCAATCAAAATATCTGTCCTTTATTGAAAACATTTAAGACTATATGTATATACGTTTGTAAATACATATACAAACAAATGTGCGGAGCCTAAGCTTAAATCTCAAACAATAACCCCAATTATGGCTCTCTACATCAGAAGCAGCAGCAGCAATACATGGAGTTTTTGCACAGAACATTAGAAACAACACTACAAAGGGTCACATGCATATGTATGTACGTACATTTTTTGGTCTATGTATTTAAATGTGAGTGTGTGTGTGTCCTTTTTTAAGGCAATCTTATGACGAATATTTGATATGAATAAAACATTAGAATAGTTGAACTCGTTTTTTTTTTTCTATTTTTTATTTCTTTTAGTGGCTGCAACAGCAGCTACATTTCAAGTCGACCCTCCCCCCTCTTCATTTCTTTTCGTATTTACACAACACATACATCCGCACGTACGATACGCATATAAGCCAAACATTTGTTCATCCATTCACTCGCTTATACATATGTCAGATGCATCATCTCTCATACATCCCTATAATGAGGAAATTCTAACAAAGTTGACCCAAATCCTTGTACACTTGTACTGGCGGGTGGGAAGTTCTATTGTGTATCCGCGGCGTGCGTGTATACATGAGTGTTTTATGTCGGTCGGTCGGTCTGTATGTACGAATGCGGTTGAGCGCTTGTACAGAGATTTGGGATGCATTAACAACTAAACGGAATCAAAACTAAATGCATGCAGAGAGCTCACAACAACACAACTACATATATGTGTTTAGATGTGCATCTGAGTATGAGTGAGTCTTACAAGGCCGGACGATGATGAAAAGATCCCAAATATTCTTGACAAGGATGAGCGGTTGTCTTCACCCCCCCCCCTCTCCCCCTTCCTTAACGTAACTTTTAAGTTTTTTTTTCATGTCACATTACTAATCTTTTAGGATCTGGAATAGATTTCTGTTGTAAGATAGCTACATATTCCAAATATTTGCGAGTTTTATTGACAGTTCCTTCTCGTATGTAATGTATGCCAGCAACATACCCTCCCCCCCCCCCCTCTTAACTTCCTTATTAGGCTCCTTTCTTAATTAAAATACAACCTCAATAAGATAATCTTGTTCATTGGAAGCATGATCCCAGTAAACAATTTTTTCCGACTGCTCTGATTTTAGATTTTTTTCCGAAATTTCTGACGTTTTTTTCAGAAATTTCTGATAGAAATTGGTCCGATTTTCTAAACGTTTTTTTTTAGAATTTCTGCACATTTTCCTGTGTTTTTAACCGAAAAAAACTCGAAAAATGTACAAACGGAGAGAGTAGATTGTCTATTGCTCTGGCATATTCTCTCCCACATGTAAACGGATGGTGGTGGTTTGACACATTCTCTCCCATAGTAGTTGTTGTTGTGATCATTCATTTCAAGATCTCAACAACAACAAAGCGCAAAGCAAAAATGCTATTTGTTATTGTGAACTGTTAGATTTTCCGTTGTAAAAATGTGCGTTTTGTTGTTGTTATAATGGAAAAAAATTGCAAAAACAACTACATACATAATATTTACAATGTAAATGTATTATAGATGTAATATTTAAACTACATTTTTACGAAACCCGAAATAAATTGTTTGTTTTTTAAATAAATATGTGTTTTTTTTTTTCATTTTTAAGTGGTGTGTTGTCCTCCGAATCTTTTCCGAAAATCTAATTTTTTCTCCTATTTTTTGAAGAATTTTCACCGAATTCGGACCGAATTCGTCCAGAAAATCTAATATTTTTTTAGATTTTTTTCAGAAAATCTTTCCGAATTCGGTGACCACGTCCATACAACTTTCGTACCGAAATCGGAAGGAATTCGGAATCAGAATCGGACATTTTTTCAGAGATTCTGACAGAAATCGGACCGAATTCGGCAAAAATTTTTTACTGGGATGCTGCCGATGATGATGATGATGATGATGACAACTTGACTTACCTTTCTTCGTCCACAACAAAGCATTCTTCGCGCACGCGAATGTCCTGTAGCTGCTTTCAATCGAGTAAACTTCTTCTTCCACTGCATTTAGTGGTATTGGTAACGTGATGACGACGACGACACGACGGCGTATTTGTGGCACGTTTCGGTTGTACACAATGCTGTTGAGTTGAGCTGCATTAATGATACATATGTGTGTGTGTTGCCGCTGCTGTAAGTGAATTTGAATTTGAATCCGAATCCGAATGTGAATGTAGTATGTGTGGCTGCGATTTTCCTAGTAGTTGTAGTGGTAGTCGGAGTAGTAGTAGTCTATCGACGATGACCAACAACACAACACATTCAAAAAACGTCTCTTGCTGCTTTTGCTTTTTCACTCGCGAACATGACATACTATGTGGTGACGACAATGGATGTGGTAGTGGTGGTGGTGGGGGGAAGTTGAAATTACCGCGTAGCCACAACAACACACAGCCTCCTCTCCTCCGCCCACATCAGTGCAGATAGTTGGAGATGGTTGTCATTTCTGCAGGCCCAGATTCCATTGATTGTAAAACTGTTGTCCGCGCTCAGATGTGGTGACTGATCCACTGATTCGTTGTTGACATCACGTTGCATGGAGTGATGAATGCCCCTGCCGCCGCCGCTCCTGCTGTTGGTCTCTGTTCTATGTGTGTATAACTGCTATCTGCAAAATGGAAAAAAGAACACCAAATAAACCATAAAGCTTAAGTAAATATACCGTGTGTGTATGTGTATGGCAACAATGTATTTGGTAAATTGAGAAAATATTTAAATAAATTAAGACTGCATTGAAATGTTTGGATTGTTAGCGTTGACCACATAAAATAATTCGGAAATATTCATTAAACTCGTTCATAACATTGGTAATGAAAGACAGCCTGGGCATGGGAGTACAACCAATATTGGAAAGACGGAACTTTTTTATACCCAAACACAATAAATTATAGTTTTTAATTTTCAATGTTTACCCATTCATCCTCGTCACAGTTTTTCGCTAAAAAATTGTATGCCCTTTGAGTTTTTCTTTCTTACAATATTTTTTATACCCTTAGCCATATGGCTAGAGAGGGTATATAAAATTTGATTACGCCAAAGGTGCCTCATCAAAATAATGGTTTTAGACCTTTGGTCTCTTTGGACCAAATCCGTTTCAGGACATTTGGTGTCGATATAGCGATGTCCGTCCATCTGTCTGGCTGGTGTGCCCAATAACTCTCGAAGAGAGTATCCGATTTGGTCCAAACATGGTACATCGTAATATTATTGTCAAACATAGATCGAGTTCGGAGATGGGCAATACAGGGTGAAATAGTTCCTGCACTTTTTGGAATTTCAATGCCTTTATCCCGAGCTCATTTTTCAATAATTGCCGAATAGAATATTGCGATATGTTCAGCTCACGAACCATTTTTCGGCCACTGCGACGGGCGTTTCGATCAAATCGCTTCTTTACTTTTCGAACCATTTATGCTGACGTTGCTGTTTTCTTCCGCCCACTTCCTTGACGTCGTATCAGTATCACGGTAGCGTAAAATGCGAAATTAACATCCGATTCCATCGGACTTGGCACCTGCCCCACAGAATATTTAATATCAATGACACTCATAAAACGCGAAGTTAACATCCGATTCCATCCAGACTTGGAACATCTCAATATTTCCATCAACATCTGATTTTTTATAAAAATTAAGGGACCATGTCTTCTGGTACCTCCCCCACATAATGTTCAAGATTTTAAAAAAATAAACAAACGCTTAAAAAAAGCGAAATAAGCCTTCTGCTCATTTCAAATTTCACTCATACAAATATTTTTGCTAACAAAATATCTGTTGTAAAGATGATATATGTATATATACACTATCGGACAAAATAAAATGCAAACAAACTGCAACTATAGTATTTGTTGTGCTTATTATAACAGTACTCTCTTCTCGTCTTTTTCTCAAAACAAAAATCCCGCTAACTCATTATGTTGAGTGTCTGCAGTTCACATTAAGGTGACAGTTCGATTTTACAAGTGACAAAATAAAGTGCATATTGTAGTAATTACAAGAAATTTATAAAAAATATCGTTTAAATTTATGTGGTAAGATCAATAATATTCTCTTGGGCATATGCAAAATGTGTTAGCAAGTATATAATAGCAAAAAAATAATAAAAATAAACCGCTATTTCCAGAAATTAAAAAAAAATCATGAGACCTCTGTCGAAGGACGTAAAGGACCTTCTGGTTCAGGATCGATCAGAAGGCATGACTTATGCGAATTTATCAAAAAAAATATAAAATTTCGGTGTCAGGTGCAAGAAAAATATATGAAAAATATAAAAGTGTTGGATCTAATGATAGCTGTAAATATCTTTGTGGAAGAAAGCGCGGTACCTCTAAACTGAATGAGGACCACATTGCAATGGGAGTGAAGAAAAATCCATCCGCATCCTGTAGAATTATAAAAGAAGATTTAAATTTGAGTGTCTCATCAAGAACGGTTCAGAGAAGAATTAATGAAAGAGGTATGAGAAGCTTCTTCGCAAAGAAAAAACCACTACTGCGCGCCGCAAATATAAAAAAAGACTTTTGTTCGCCAAAAAATACATAAATATGCCAGAAACCTTTTGGGATAGAGTTATTTGGACAGACGAATCCAAATTTGAATTGAAGAATGAGAAATGGAGGAAGCGGGTATGGTGCGAACCCTCAGAAAGGCTGAGGCCGAAGAATCTTATTCATACAGTTAAACATGGTGGAGGTAACCTTATGGTATGGGGGTGCTTCTCTACAACGGGAGTCGGTCGCCTAGTAAAAATTGATTGCAGAATGACAGGAAAAGACTACGTAAAGATTTTGAGTGAAAATATCGAAGAAAGTGCACGAGAAATGCAATTGGGATCGTTTATTTTTCATTCATCTATGGGCCATTTTAGATACCAAAACACCGATGGAATCGCGAACAAACGTTACAACATTCTGGGAAGCAATGCAAAGAGAATGGAAAAAAAATCCGAGTAACACTTTAAAAAATTTGGTCCGAAGTATGCCAAAACGGCTTAAAGCAGTGATAGACAACACTTTATTTTGTCTAACTCTAATACGAGGTGAAATTATGTTTTTATGTTTTTTCTGTTTCTGAATGAACTACCAAAAATCGTTTTATATTTTTTATATACTATACACTATGACTTAAATAAATGTGGTTTAATTTGAATTTATAAAAAAACCAAAAAAAATTTTTTCATGTACTAAAATATTTTTTCGTCTTTTGCACTTTATTTTGTCCGATAGTGTACATATTCATAATCAGCATAAAATTCCTAAGTCCAAAGGTTATCCCGGCAATTCAGTATTTTGATGATTTTGCCAAATTTTTCCACGGATTTGTATAAAAATTTGTATTTTTAGTTCGTAATGGGTTCTTGCTCCGGTGGAGAAACATTGTACGTATAGGTCCACGTTTTGGTATAGCCCCCATATCACGATACCTACCGATAGTCAGTGGTTTGATGATTTTTACCATAGTTTTTCACGGACCTATCCAAAAATTGGTATTTGAAGTTGGTAATGGATTCTAACGCCTGCGCTCGAATATAATATGTATAGGTCCACGTTTTCGTTTTATAGCTCCCTCATAACGGTAACCCGGATATTCAGTATTTTGATGTTTTCTCTACATTTTTCCACGGATTTGTCAAAAAAATGATATTTGTAGTTCATAATGGCTTCGATTTCCGGCGACAGAACATTGAAAATTTCGATACTCGGTATTTTGATAATCCTAGTCACATTTACCCACGAAATTGTTTCAAATTTGATATTTAAGAAGATTTGGTAGACGACAAACCTTGATGTATAAATTGTCTTTGGAAGTTCCCGTCTGTCTGACTAAATATATATACAGTAATTTTAATGAATGAAAACCAAAAATTTTGGAAATAGCATAACATTTTAGAATAAGTTTAGATTCGTTCGAATTGGTCACCTTCGGCACGAATTGTGGCCTTCAAACGACCAATGAAATCGTCACACGCTGCCCGAATGTTGCTCTGCGGTATTTTGGGCTATTCCCGGCAAAGCGCTTGCTTGAGGTAGTCGACACTTTGGTATTTTTTAATGTCAACCTTGTTTTCCAGAATACCCCATACACAATAGTCCAACGGATTGGTATCCGGAGATTTTGGTGGTCATTGTGCGCTAAAAATGAGGAGAGGAACCTCATTGTGTAATTATTCTTGGGTGGCGCGTGCTGAGTGCTATTGTGCTGAGTCCTGTTGGAATGTCCAAGGTCTGCGGCCAATATATTTGCGTGCCCAAGGCTTTAATACACCCTCCAGAATATTTTCGCGATAATATTCAACATTTATTCTGGTGCCCCGGGCGATTAATACGAACGGAGATCGGCTGTTATGGCGGCCCACACAATCACCATGGCCGGCGCTTGAGTTCTAGTGGCCAACCTAAGGTGCACATTTTCAGCTAACCTCTTTGGCAAGTAAACACGATCATTTTGTTTGTTTACAAACAGCAGGACAACGAATGTTTTCTCATCGGAGAAAACCAAATTCGGCAGTTCACCACTTTCGGTCAACCCAAGCTACTCTTTAGCTCTTTTAAGTCTATTTTCTTTCTGTTGTGGTGTAAGTTCTTGCACTTTTTGGAATTTCCATGGCTCTGCCCCGAGCTCAATTTTCTATATTTGCCGAATGGAATATTGCGATATGTTCAGCACACTAGCCATTTTTCGGCGACTGCGACGCGGGTTTCGATCAAGTTGCTTCTTTACTTTTCGAACCATTTCTGCTGATGTTGCTGTTTTCTTCCGTCCACTTCCTTGACGTCGGGCTACGCTACGGCAACGAGCGATGGTACGAGACACAAAAGTTTTATTCACATTTATATGCTGGAGTGCTCTAACGATAGCCACTTGTGGTTTTCCAGCCAAATATAAAGAAATCACACAATCACGCTTGAATTCCATCACGAAAATTTCTGGAAAATTCTCACCAAAATGCTTTTGTACGCTTGTAAGCAATATAATGAGCTGTCACTGGAATAATTTTAACAGCTGTTGGACGAGTGGCTTAGAAATGACAGCAGTCTGAAGTTTGTTGCAGTTTTTTCTTCTCACCCTTTATTTGTGTCCATTTTGACAAAAAGACTCGAAAATTTCTAATTTTTCTAATCAGTTTTTCAATTGAATCATAGCATTATGTAAAATTGAATATTTTATCAATGTTTCCGATGCTTAGATTTCTTGTCTTATTTATGATTTACTTAGAATCCAATATAAATTTTATTTTGACTTAGAAATGACAGCAGTCTGAAGTTGGTTGCAGTTTTTTTTTATCTCACCCTGTAGACTCTGCACCCCAGAGTCTTATTTTGGGAGATTTTCACCAAGTTAGAAAAAATTCAATTTTTTTTAAATCTTACAACTTTTTTCAGAAATTTTCAACATTGCTGAAAAATATTTGAATAAATTTTACAAAAATAGTTTGATTACTTCTATGTAATTCATATTTTATTATTACTATAAATGGGAACATATACATGTACACATACGCCCATTTCTAAATTGTAAAAAACAACAAACATGTAATTTATTCTAAAACTCAACTAAAAATAATAATCATAAATGTTAAGCCATTCCAAAATAAAGAAATGAACATATC